CTTGTAGAAATGCATTTTTACATCTTTTCACTCATTGAAATTCACTGCTTACGGTAGCAAGCAACGAAATTTTGTTTGCTTTCTTAAGACTCTGCTTTTCCCCTGATAATATTCACAAAAGTATTACAAAAACCTACACGGAATTGTAAATGTTACGCTGATTAGTAGTGGAATAATTTCAGAAAAACGTATTTGCACTAGCAATTTAACTAAGAAAAAGTGTTTGTGCATGTATAGGCTACAACCGGAACAATCTGATGTTTGTGAATTTTTCACGACGCTCTAAAAGCCTCAAAACTTCACTTTAAAACACTTTTTTATTGTAAATTAGAGTTAAAACAAACACAAGTTTAAATCTGAATATCTCGAAAACGGTGGGAGATAGCGACTTGCCATCGTCGTGAGCGTGGGTTACACAACAAAACAGGCTAAACAGTCATATCGTGAGCCAAGTGCACATTTTTTGGAAATTTTGAATTTATTGATAGAAAAAATCCTAAACACAAACTTTTTGATAGTAGTAAAACTGGTTAAGAATCTATTTAAAACTACTGCAATTTTATTTACACTTTGACACCCTGTACCTTGAAAACTATTAACTTTCGGATAAAACAAATTTGCCTAAAACGCAATGTTTTTCCATAAACAACAATTTTTCTATTGCCATTTTTACTGCTTTTTATATAAAATTTGAATTAAGTACCTAGTGTACCCACGTATAAAAACATTAAATACATGTATTTTTTATAATTACATATTTAATGCTTTCAGATTATTAGGATTTCCAGCAATTTTATGAACTAGAGGCATTGTATTCAAAAAGTCAAGCGACAATATAAATAAAAGTAAAGATTCAGCGGGAAAAGCACCGCCCTTGGAGATCAAAGTTGACAAAAACAGCAAATAAAAATGCTACAAACAAACCTTAATTACTGTAGGTATTAGAGAAATATAGAAAGTAAAAGAGCCGATTTTTCCTTAAGTGGCGAAATAAAAAAAAACAAAAAACAAATTTTTGCCCACAATTTCCAATTAAAGTGAAAGGCATTTATGTAATTTAGGTTCAAAATTGCACCTTCTTACAAGAATCTGTGATAAATGCTGTATTTTTCTTATTTTATAATTCTTCTTTCTGTAGTGTTTAACATTTATTTGTTTTTACAGTATTTAATTGAATTGTACGAATTGCATCATGAGTTTAAATAACGAAATAAACTAAACTACCATAAAACTAGTAGCGGCAAATAGATTAAACATGCCAAATCATGTTTGTGTTCCGCTTTTTCATCTTTTTATCTATTCGCGGTATTTTCGTCTTGCATCGGATTAAAATGGGTTTCAGAGCCTTGCTGTTTTCACAATTTTCACATGTTTTGCAACTATAATATCTCTTAAGGGTAATCAATTATTGAATTATTCTTCTCCGACTTGTAAACGGAAATATTAATAAATATTAATAAAAGTGTGCTAGTTGCATAAATAACGAAAAAGTGAATAACCGTAATAAGCCAATCACACCATACATTTAGAGAAAGGTACTTGACTGCAATACAAAACTGAAGAAAAAAAACCTGTTCAAAATTTTGTGCCAGGCTCAAAGTTACGAATATTTGTTTGCGTCCGCACTTTTACGCCTTATTGGATCCTTAAACTATCATATACAATTGCTAAATTAACCATTTTTCAATTGTTTATAACTTTCCGAGCGGTTCTAAAAAGTGTACAAAATTTTCCGCTCGATCTTAGTCGGACTTGCGGCTCTCGTTTTGCATTGCAGTTAAGTACTTTTCTCTAAATGTATGGCGTGATTGGCTTATTTTTTCATTGTTAAACAAATAATTTAAAATTACGTTGGCTTTCACCTACTTTTCATACTTTCGAGCATTTTAAAAGCGAAAATTTCAATCCTACGGATATCGGACCAACTCCAGCTTATAGAAAATTTCATAACGAACAAAGTTGGGTAGTTATATTTTCTCTAAAATGCATACTTACCGAGTTATATGCGATTGCTTCCGGGAAAAATCGCGATTTTCCCAATTTTTTTTCACTTTTTCGTTATTTATGCAAATAGCCCACCATTTCAAGCTGACATACCTCAATATTTTCAATAGATATACCATTCCAGAGCGATTCCAATAGTTATTTAAGTTAGGGCACGTTAGAAACATTTTTGAATTTCCTCGTAATTCTCCTGGACTAAACTGCTTAGAACAATGGGTGCATTAAACCAGAAACAAACATTAAAACTTGAAAAATTCAGATTTTATGACGGCTGTGAATAAATGAAAGTTTGATGAATTTTAAACGGGCTCTCGATAAATTTGCTGGACGACATTATTCGGATTTATCAGTTGGAGTTCTTTATTGCCCCAATATTCGTCCAAATTGCCAAATGGCAGTCAATTAATACCTCGTCTCTTATTCACACGTCGAATATTTCGTGATTACCAATTGAAGCTTTTACGGTTCCGAAATTAATCAGCTCGGTTAAATAAAAATATATTTCCTGGTAGGCCATTCACTCGACGATTTCCAGCACGGTAATATAAATTACCGGCAAATCCCTAAGGATTCGATTACGGGGCGATTTCTTTCGGAACTCCTAATAAAAATGCAACATCCAACGTAACTCCGATTGATTTATAGACTTAATCGTTATCTCAGTCATTTAACGTAGCCGAACACTTTGCTTCTTCTTTCAGGGGTGAGTTTTTGTGCCTGGGAAGCGATGTGCGACCCTCTTTTGTTCGATCTATTATGGCAAAAAGCGAATGAATTAAATGGATCGTATATAAGTGGTATTAAATGCGATTTTAATCAGATAATTCCAACAGCTGTGTTAGCAACTTCACTTAAAGAAAATCATGTTTGCTAAGGGTGAATCCTATTATACGCGATGTACTAAAAAGTTACAATGCCACTATATTTATGCATAGTTTTTCGTCTGGCTTATTAAGCCTGTGGCCTCAATAAACTATCCACTTTTGAGCTTTAACAGCCAGTAACAATGATCTACCAACAATTACGGTCTAGTGTTAGGTAATCTGCTAATACAACGGTTTTTCGTCCAGCTTATTGATTAATTAAACAGCGCGCCAATATACTGTCAAAACCGAAAGCTTTGCATACAAAGCGCCATGATAATGATTTCCCAGTGGAAAATATAACGACACACTCATTGCCCCAACTATTTATCTTGTAAATATAGGTTGATAAATTGGTACAATATTATTGAACATGTTTCACGTTTTTGAGGGCTAGTTGATTCACTTAATGCACAAGTGGTTTCTTTGATGGTTTATACGCAGCTTGCTTAAACATTGAAATAAATAGCAATTGGAATCTGAAAAACTAAAAAAACCTATGCAGTTTTTAGAGTAGTTCCAAGCCATTTGGGAATTCATGGAAATGGAAATGTTTTGCATTTGGTTCTGTTGTTGTCGTTGGCGCATTCGAGGACACCCTGTGTACTTCTTTGCTTTCCAGTGAAGTAGGTGTTAAACGCCAGACTCTTCAAGAATCTCCAAGAATTGTTTGCATAAAAAATTAAAGCACGACCCAAATACTTAAAAATGAGGACCGATTAAAGCTGATTTGAAATGTGCTTCCTAAACCTTTCAATTTTAAAGTCAGCTACAGACCACCTCATTATTCAATGTCTAAAAATAAAGCAATTGATAACACAAGCTTACCTTTCATTAAAATGCGTTTGATTGCGTCTCGAGGTCCCCTCAAAGAATTAGAAATGTTGATTCGTGAGTTTAATCCCTTTGGCGACTACATTAGGGACTTGCTTTGAGAAAAGGGCTTTTGATGTTAGGGCGAACCCGAGGAAAATATTTTCTGTAGCTGACCGGGTTTTCATGTTAGCTTTGATTAGTATGAATTTATCGTTGTTTTTGCTTTAATGTTTACGATTTTAAAGGTTTTTTACTATGGGGCAATTAGACAACAAGCTGCTTAATATTAATATTTTTGAACGGGAGTAGAAAGTTGGAAGATTGCGAATAAAACAGCTCGTTTATATCGACACCATGTGGTATGATCCAGTTTGGGAAGACGTGAATTATTCACAAAATTTTAAAATACATTTTTCTAAGAATTTAATCGTTTTAGCGATTACATTAAAAATACGCGGGAAAAAATAATGTTTGATGTTTGAACGGAACTAGTCACCATGTATTTTATAATCCGCCTTGATTAATGTCCATTTTCGTCAAAATTTGCATGGAAAGGTAAAATTTTCGGAACAGAGGAAGTTCTAAACAAAATTTATTTTTGATTAAATCATTTTTATTTTCCTTGTTTGCCGGATAATTAAGGGCACTAATTTGTAGGCGATTAACGCTATTCAATGGTAATTATTTTTAAAAAGAGAGCCGAGGATTTTTCTTCGGTTCTTTTTAATTCGGATTTGTGGATTTAATACACGAGTTTTCCGCGGGCTTGATTAGAAGCTGCCTATGGAAAAAGCGCTTTTGATGTTTGACACAAGAGGACTCAATTTTTCGTCTAAAGCGTTTAATTGAATTCTTGCGAGTGAAATTAATTTTCTAATGTGACTAATTAGTAAACGATGTATTGCGTGGAGATCAGGGGCGGATCCAGCTCTCAAGTCAAGGGGGGAGGGGGTCATGTAGTAGAAATTCAGTGTTTTGATGTTTATCAAATTAGATAAACTATCGTCAGTGGGCATAAACCCAACACCGTTTTTGCTCATTGAAGCAAAATGGGAAAGAACGCTCATTTTTACAAGAGCCATGACCCCCTTGACCCTCCTGGATCAGCCCTTGCGTTAAATTCTCATTTTTAAAAAAATACAGAGATTTTAAACATTTTGACTGAGAAATATATTTTTTATGAGATCATGTCCGCAACAATCAAAATAAATAAATATCGTTAATTAGTCGTGACTGGGCTATAATAACATCTGAAACACATAAATGCGAGATAAATTATAATACATCTTACATTAACCTTAACTTTATTTGTTTCAGTTTTAGCTGGAGTTGGAGTAGACTTCATTTACCATGGACGATATCCAGGATATTGGCTGATGTAAGTGACATCCTAAATTGTAATGAATTTAACTAGAAATAGACAACAGCTGTGAAACAAACGTGCTGAAACGGTCCCTGATGGACGTAGCATATATGAAGTGATTTTATAAATCGTCTTCGAATAATATGAAAGACTTTCTATCCATTTTCGTCAAAAATATAGTTCATAATTCCACTTTGGCTGTGTTAACGTATTTGCGAATATATTTTCCAATTTTGGAAAACATCTATAGAAAATTGAAATCTTTCATGTTGGAGCATTCGTTTATAAAGTTTACCATTTCCCCCTTTTTTAATAACAGGAAACCGTTTTAGAACGGAACGTTAAAACTGTTACAAAATGCTAGCTGTGAAAATCAAATTAAACCTGATTACTTTGCCTCAGCAAAAGTATGAGATATAAATTGTATGTTCCATATTTTCACAGGCAAACGTTCACGCTTGGATCCCTTAAACGTACCTCTTTTGCATCTATTCTTTACCTAAGAGCCGTAATACCCAACCACTATTATGTTAAAATATTTCAGCCCAGAGTCAAAAGGAAACGTTTTCACTAAGCTTTGTACCAAGCCAACCGGCAAAATCCTATTTTAAGATCAAAAGACGGCAAATAGAGACAGACAGGTTGTTGCAAATTCCAAACAAAATATCCAAAACCACAAAAGCCTGAGCCGAAATAAGTATGATTTGATGCAACAAAGATTTATATTTACAATTCAAACTTCATGCTATTCGAGGCGTAGAGTGGAACTTTCTACGCGAATTATTCATAAGCTCGAAAGTAATAATGGAAATATGTACCTGATATAGGTGATATGATGAGATGGAAATTTATCGAATGATGGAAAAACGATGATATGGTACCTACCTATTCACGTTTTGTTCAAAAATTAATTTCGTTTAGAAGCGCCTTATAAAGTTCAGTTCGAATATTTTCCGCTCGGGCTTTGTTTCATAAATTTGTGTTTTAATCACGCGGTTTAGTTTATGTATATTCGATGATATTTGATTAATTAGCAATAGCACTGAGCTGAAAATACAATTGGTGGATTTATATGTGGGAATATTTGCGCAGAAGAATTTCGGAAATAAAGAAGTGAAGAATTGACATTAGATTTATTTTGTATTTATATCTGGAACAGTTAAATAAAATACATTCTCATACCACGGGGCTAAACAGACTTTATAAATTCTTCTTCTTCTTATTTGCAACTTTACAAGCCTTGGTGGGTCTTGGCTAACTGCCGAATCATTCTCCATCTTCCTGTATCCTGCATCAATTTAGGATCGCATGCTACTCTCATAGCTCTCAGGCTGCAACTATGTTGTCTTTATATCTCATATGCGATCTCCCCAGCGATCTTTAACCTTCCGTGTTATATTGCCAGATCATTTTCAATGTTTTTTCCTGAAGTTTTGTTATTTTTGATCTTGTTGATAGTTTCTTTGTATGTGGGTTCTTCTACCGGCGGTTCTGCATTTGGTACTCGGTTGTAGTTTGTTCATTTTGTTGATCTATGTTTAAAAGTTTATCAAAGTACCTACTGCTTCCATATATATATAAATAATCTCTATTTCCTATAGAAACCGCTATCGACACATTCGGTCTTTCTGCCCTTGTTTAGTACATATGTATCTTCGCCTAGCTTATTCTGAAATTAATTCCTATTCCTAACACTCGTATCAACTAATGAGCACTGCTTCCATTTGTCCACTATTTCGTTTTTATTGGTCGTTATGTTTCCATCTTCCTTCTTAAGTATGGTTTCCGCCCTAGGTCTGAACCCGTTTTTTGTGGTTCAAATGTCTTTATAGAACTTAGCAGACCGGTTATGGTTGCTATCTTGTTCCATTTCTTCCAGTCTACGTTGCTCGTGCTGTCTCTTCCTTGTTATCATTAATTTTCTGGCGCTTTTTCGTAGTTCTCTATGTAGTCCTTGATTTTTGTCCGTTCTTCGTTGTAGCACACTTTGTCTTGTATGGTTCCTTGCATCTAGGATCTTCTTGCACTGTTCTATAACGAACATTTATTTGCTCCAGAAAAGCCATTATTTTATTCTTCTCCTGGCAGATTCCCGCACATTTCGGGCCTTCGAGCCGGACTTTTTAGATTTTTGCACACTTGTAGATTTTATTATTCGCTAGTTTATTCCATCTTCTGCAATACAGATCTGACTTTGCCATTAAGAAATGTACACTAGTCACACGCAAGTATATTTTTCTCATACTTGCAAATTTTGATAGTTTGTATTTTAAATTGAGCATTTATGTCGTGAATGCTGCAAACCTCTAATGCCGTGGGAACCATAATGTTCGTCTTTATGACATAATTTCCGCATTAGGTGCTGGTTTCCGCACAACTCTAATTTCCAACTTTGCCCAAACTTTTAATAGCTTTGTTTCTGAGTAGGTCACAAATTCCGAGGATTACACATCTCCAAGTTGACTAGTTCCTCTTGCACGTATCTTGCATATCCTGATAAGGTGTCAGTCTCTTTCATCCAATCCTATTTTAACTATAACATCTATTCATCAAATTTTAAGTTTTTATGTACTTTTTACCTCCAACTACCGGATATCCAAAAAATGTACTTAACTTCAGCGCAACTCATGTGAAAATGGTTTAACCATGCGAGTGCATCTACTCGAAAAATATCAAATATGTGTACGATAATGGAACGCAAATATGAGTTGAAGCTAGTAAATACATTTATAAATATTGCCATTCTGAAAATGTAATAATTTGGATGTCTGGATGAACGGATAAACTATATTTCAAATGCAAATTTCATTAAAATATCAGCGATGAAAATTCCAGTTTATCTCGATGGAAAATAATTGGTTTTTGTTGGCTACCTACTACTTTAACCTTAAATCAAAGGATACATAAAATAGATTAGAATTAAAAATTGAGAAGAATTATTGGTGAAAGTGTCAAATTAGTAGCAATTAGACAAATTAAAACTGTTGAGGAGATCCATGTTTGAAATAGATGTATGTATATTTTCAACCACTTGCAATTTGCTACTGGAATCCAACAAAATTTAAATAGTATGATTTCAATTAACATCGTTTTCATTATACAGTGAAGACTCGTACTAGTACTAATTTAGTGGATTTATTGAAGGGAAAATCGATCTGCTCATCAAAATTCTTTCTGGCTCCATTTTTCCAATTGGAAACATCAATTTCGTATTTTATCTTTAAGATTTACATACATTGAATTTCTTGTATGCTTTATACTACTTTGTGCACTTTGTTTAAATCCAACAGAGCAACAACATTTTACTATTGAACTTAGATGGCCGTTGATTTCTTTAACAATGTCTGAGATCCTCGAAAGAGCCAATTTACTACAAAGCACAGAATGCTGCGAACAAGAAAGCTCAAGCACTTTATAATAATGTTCCTCAAATCTAAAGTATTTTGATATTTCTTCGAGCAGACTTTGATTTCAGATAGTTCGGTAAAAATCTATTCAGGCTAGATCTGAAAACGTTGCTGGCCATTTACGAAAACTTCTACATTCTCGTGCTCGTTTTACAGATTAATTGGCGACATTCGAAATATTGTTAGATCCTGTAGTTAATTTACTAAACCATGTTCATTGAGCAACATTTTCAAACTCAATAATATTATTCGAACCAATTAACGCATCTTACTGCTACTGGGAAACAAAGTGATTTGCATAAATATAATTAACTTACTACGCTGTAAATCTCCATAATCTTATGTCTAGTTTATTGAAGATGTGCACGTTTGCAAGACAACAATGTCGGAATTAATACATATTGTTCCTAGCAGGAGGTGACAGTTTTCAGGGAAAATTACAATTTGTTTCCTTCATTTGCATTATAGGGAAGGCTATATGGGAAACAAACGCAGTAAATTGTAGCGGGTTCGTATAAGTGCTGGCTGGATCAACTGGAAGTTGTTGTTATTTGTAAACGCTCCGAAGAATTGCTGGATACAATCTTGACTGTCACATTCATATGGCAGGCATAAACATTAATTATTTCCTGCCGAGGCACGAAATTGCAATTTTGAAACCACTGTATGTTTATTGTGTATTATAATAATATACGGTTTCGTATCCCATACTGAAATATATTATTATTTTGTTGCAGTTCTTTAAAGTAAATAAAAGCCAAAATTAATATAATCGTGTTACATTGAAAACTGCACTTATTGTTAAAAAATTCACACAAAGTTGATGTGTTGCTAGAACAATAATTTTTAGTCACAGGGATTTATTATATTTTTACATATTGTATTTGTTTGATGTTAATTTTTTTGATCGGCATTATACGGGACAAATAAAACACCACAGGAAGTTTCTCTTTTAATTATTTAATTTAAGCTCTAAATTGATACAATCATTGGTGTTCAGATCCATTAACATTTTTTAAATTTTTCTTTGCTTACTTCTCCTTATTAAATGCAACATAAGACATTGATGGAAAAAAAATATAAACTGCGCCTCAAATTTACCGCGTAATTTAAATTTTTTGATAAATTTTAACTGTCAATATTATCTCACTCGGTGCTCTGATTTTAATAATTGTTTCTCGACTCATGGTTCTATTCTTAGACAACATTTACGTTATGAGATAATAAAAAAAGGAAACAATAAAATTGTACAGCGTGTTCAAATACTGACATGTTTTCTGGGTTAACAATTGAATCTTTCTGCGGGTAACCACAGGGAAGAACTATATGATTTTTCAGCCTCATGTCTCCTGAGTAATTTGGATCTTTAATCGTATGCTTATTTTGAGCCATTTGAGAGACATTAATTTTATTTTTGCCGAAAGGATTTCTGCCAATAAGGCTTTACGAACAACATTCTATACATTTTAGCAAGTTGATCGCTCCGTTTATTTGCCACTCGTTGTGCTCCGTCAATTAAGTTGTTAAAGTTTTTATTTTTCTGAGGATAAGGGACTTTTATTTTCACTCCTAAAAATATTCTTTTCGTTTTGCTTCATTATGGAGTTA